ACGCGGGCTTATGGAGGGCCGCATTCTGTGCAGAGAAATCGGGCCGGACGCGGGCTGAGACGGGCCATCCGGCCCGCGCTCCTGAAGCTGCTGATAATAATAAAAAAAAAAATTTGATTTCAAATGCAAGGGCTGGGGTTCGAACAACGTACCTCTCGCACAGAAGAGCACAAGCAAGACCACTACGCCACCCGCCCATTTGCAACATTTAAGGAAAACGTTTGAAGTAAATTGTTTTTAAAATCAGGCCTGAAATTGATATGAAATAACAGAGCCTAGGAGCAGTCACAGAAGCTGCAAATGACTTACAACAAATTCACAAAATCCCACGGCAACTCAGGCCCGGAAAATATCATATATATCCGAAAGATTTATCAGAGTTCGAAATATTTCAAGAACCGGTTTTTGAATCGAAAAATCAAACCGACAATAATATGGCATGAAACAATAAACGACACAACCACGTCGGCTCGAAAACAATAAAACAGGACTCCGAACTTAAACGAGTATGTCGCAGCAACAAAACGATATTCACTATTTACGGAATCGAGAGTTCCAATAATCCCCGGATAATCCTCGAACATACGAAATACATAACGAACATACGAAAAGACAAATAAACCGAATTCGAAACCCAACGCAACGATTTAACGCGAACAAACAAAAATCGAACGGTATTATTCTGAAAAGCAATTAACGAGAAGGTTTCGAAAAGGTTACCCTTCTTCGGGAAATTTACGAGAAATCGGGAAACAGGTCGGAATGAACGGAGTCTCGACGGGAACCGGACTGCAGACGGAACTCCTCGAAGGTGTTGCTGGGGGGAACTCGACAACGCACAGCCGCTTATGAACGAGAATGGTTGTGTTTCCCGGCGACGAGTGCGAACAGATTTGAATGAGTTTGCCGGAAAGGACCTCGAACACAGGCCTTTGACGGACGATGGACTGTCGCTGAGGAGGACGCCGGGTATCTAGCTTGTGCTTCGCCGGAGACGATGGAGGCGACTAGATTGATGATGGTGATTGCAGGCTCGATGCGACTGAAATCAATCGAAGGAGGTGATTGGATTTGGGATATTTCAACAAACAGAGAAGAGAGGGATTTGAACCGAATTGCTTTGGGATAATCTGAGATAAGGTCTGCGACCCCGAGTCTTAAGTAGAGAAGAACCAGATTGCGAACGTGCAAGAGGATCTCGCGAGAGAATCGCGCCTGCAATTCAATCTGCACGACTCGGTCATGGTGCAGAAGGGAAGGAGGAAAAGGCCGAACAAATTATCTGCTCTTGGGTTTCATCTACTTGGGCCAAGGATTTACAACTTAAAACTGGGCCTAATATTTGATTTAAAATAGGTCCAAAATGATTGGACTAGAATTCAATTCAAATTGGGCCGGAACCAATTTAATTGGGCTGAAAGGCAGACAATGCGATGACAAAAATTTCCGTTCGACTCGATTGGCGACGAAATAATAAATTGATCCGGATTATCAATATATATAACACGTTGATTAAAAATAATAATAGTAATAATCAAAATATAAAATTAGTAATTTAATAGACAATTAGACATATAATATTTACACTTAATACGTATTAAGCACATTAAATCATTTAGGCAATTAGACAATTACATATAAATAAACACATAATAACATTAGTAATAATAATAATAATAACATTAGTAATAATAATAATAATAATAACAACAATAATAATAATAATAATAACAATAATCCAAATTTATTCATAAATGAACAGGGCGTTACAGCGGCCTTTCGAATGTGTCGCCCTTCATCCTCGGAGACACAGAAATCTGAGACCCACTCAATGCCTCAAGCATTCGGTTTAGCTTCAAAAACTATGAGCCTCAAGCACATGCGAGAAGAGGTTCACATCCGACTCCTACTTGGAAGTAGTCGTAACGACAGATAATACATCCAGTTGGGGGATACGAGCTTTCAACGCAACCTTAACAATGTTTGGAACACAAATCGATGTTTTCCTAACCGAGTCACTCATATAAAGGGTCAAGTACTTGACCGAATCACTTACAATATCAAATTCCTTGAAACCGCAGCAATTACTTACTGTCAACCTCACAAGTCTCGGGCAGTTAGACGATAATATGACCATAGACTTGCTTGACATGGTCGGTCGGCACAGATACAAACTAGTGAGCAAAGAGAAGAGCGTGCTTTGGCGGTGGGACCAACTCCATGAGCCATCATCGCCCTCGATAATTTTTAAATATAAAGTAGTTGAACCCACACGATGCTGCGTCTCTTAGTCCAACGTTTTTCTGGCAGAATATGGTAAAATTCTCCAAAATAATTTCTTCCCAACTCTTTCCACATAAAACACATTATGATGAACATATAGAAGCTCAACTCTCTTCCTCACTAAAAATCAAATTTGATGAACATCTTATATTAATTTGCTGTGCAAGGTTATGATTTTGGGACTACTTTTTGATAAAAATCATGAAAGACAGAATGTGAAACTCATTAGTTGCAAATGATCACATATCAATTGAAAATTTTAAACGCATTTGTTTATTTTAATTATCCAAAATTGATTTTCAAAACCAGGCAAAAAATAAATAAATAAACGTCACATTAGTCAGTCTATTAATATTTGTGCAGCATTTTTGTTCTTACTGTTACACTATATACTCTATATACTTTTTTCGCAGCCTAATCTGACATCAGATGATTCACCAGCTCCTCACAACGACGAAAAGCTTAAGTATAAGAGAGATATATTATAAACAGAAAAGCAAGCGAACGTAGTACTTATGCCGTTGTCTGACCTCTTCATTTCAACTCAACCTATATTTCTCCATCATACGACTATGAGTCTGTTACAACATTCTAACTTCTCCATTTCAATATAAAGCAAGTCTTCTTGTCTTGTGTTCGTTTTTTCAACACCTCCAGCTTCGTCCACCGTATGAGCCGCCATTGTCGCCCGTCGAGAGTTCCAACAGACACTTGCTCCAAATCGTGCTGCCAAAAGTAGGGCTTGGTCCTGACTTTCCTCTTTTCAAGCAAGATGTTTAACTGAAACTCCGAGAGCCCGCAGTTCCCATCCGACTTGTTCACGAGCCTAGAACTCCCTATGTAACTCGGTCGACAAACGCGAAACAAGCCATTCATAAACCCCATGTACCAAGCAGCCATGCGATATTTACAAGTACCAAATTTCAAGGTATGCACCACCACAGGCGGCTCATCACCGATAACAGCACTACAAGGCTCGTCCTGAAGGCCGACGTCCATCTGCAAAAACAGAGAAATCCGAGACCCACTTAGTGCCTTTAGCACTCGTCTCAGCTTAAGCAACCATGAATTGAAGTCTAAATCGGGGTCATCCTTATGTGAAGAGAAGAACACTTTTGAGGACCACTTCTTGGAAGTAGTGGTCGTGAAAGAGAATGTGTCCGGCGCCTGGGAAATACGGGCAATGAACTGGAAACTGACAATGTTCGGGGCACAAATTCTAACTCCTTTTAGCAAAACTTCTGGGGTCCAGATGCGCAAGAACTTGACCGAATCACTAGCAAGATGAAATTCCTCGAAACCAGAGCAATTCTCTAGGGCCAATCTCGCAAGATTCGAGCAGCCGGACGATAACAGGTCAAACGACTCGTTCGACAGGATCACATTACAGAAATACAAACTCGTGAGAACAGAGAACGCGAATGCCCTTTTGCGGTGACACCAAATCCGTGGGCCATTGATATAGACTGTCTCGAGATTCGGGACATCAATGTCGATGCTACACCCTTTCATCCTCTTGGAATCAGACAATTCTAATTGCTTGAGCCTAGACGATTTCAGCCTAACGTTTCTCAACTCCCGACAACGATTAAGGAGCAGGCTCGAGAGCCAAGGGCAGCCCAACATTATCGTCTCTAAAGTGCCGCCATCAACTTGGACCTTTTTGAGGCTGAGCGTGTGCAAACTCTTAAGCCGCACGCTCTCGACCACCGGGCTCACCCTGCATTTTCTCAGGTGTAGTTCTTCGAGGGATTCGGCTAAAAAGACGGCCGAGGGGAGGTCCTGAGTATATGAAAGAAGGTTGAGTTTAAACACTTTCATGTTGAGGGCGGGTGTCGTCGGAATCCATTTGTCGAGAAGGGAGATGACCGGTCGTGAGTCGGGGCTCGATAAGTCGAGATGGAGTTTGTTTATGGAGAGGTTTTGATCATAGTATTCTTGTAGGATTCGGTCGACGGGGACATATTTTTCTTGTGTGTTGCCGAAGGAAAACTCGAGGTTGGGGCGGGTTGATCCTATGTGGCGCCATTGTTTGGAGAGTACACAAGTTTTCACAGCTTCTCTCTGAGAGAGGGAACAGAGTATGTGGTGAAGTATATGTATTGGCAGTTTGGATAATCTGTCGTCCGCCTGCTTCTTCTGCTTTTTCTTTTTTTTGGTACAACGCTTCTTCTGCTTCTTCCTAGGCATAATATGACGTGAGAACAATTGTGTGGTGTGTTGAACGAATGAGCCCTAATGCCGATTATACACTGTTAATAAAAAGGGGAAAAAAACCCAATCCTTATGTTAACGGGGAAGACGAGAGCATCAATTCCTAAATTATAGGTAGTTAGTATAAGATAAATTAAAACACCAATGAGAGGGTTCCGTATCGGGACAATGGCATTTTTCAATAAAAAGAAGGTAATTCTTTATAATAATATTAATCTATCTATACTTATATAAAAAAGTTATCATATTTAACAAGAAATAGTAGCAAGAAAAGTTAAGTCATATTTAATGCATACCTTATTTAGAAATTTTTTTACTATATGCATTATTTGCTTGCATATATACATTTCCTATTCAAGATATGATCAAAAAGATTCTTTATTTAATTAATTTTATTAACTTCTACTATGATTTTACTGATATCCATTGTAAGTAATATTAGTCGATATTATTTTTTAATTTTTATTTGAGTATATGAAAACAAATAATCTTTTAAAT